CTCAGAGAGGCTGTGGAGTCTCCTTCTCTGCAGATCTTCAAAACCTGCCTGGATGCCACCCTGTACGCTATTCTCTAGGTGTCCCGTCTGGAGCAGGGGATTGAACTAGATGATCTCTCTTCCAGCCGTAACCATTCTGTGATTCTGTGAAATAACATTTATAGTGACTCTTCAGAGGTAAAACATCAGGAGAGACTAAGTTGACAATGTAATGTCAGTTGACAGTGTAATGTATATTACTGGTCTTCTACGAAGTGTGTGTTTCTAATGTAAACTGTTTCATGGCAATACAGTTTAAGAACCCCTCAAAGTAGGTACCTTTGTTTCAATAAAACAGAAACAAACATAAATCCTTTTCCTTTTGTGTTTAGGTAATTATTTTCAGAAATACTGCTTTTCAAAAGTCTAGTGTACCCTCAAGTAGTTATATGTATTTATTAAATTCACTCACAGGTGTTTTGCCTTTGAAGATACTCAGCAAAAGGGAAGGAGTTCACCCTTGTTTTTTGATATATGAATTTAGAAAGTTCTGTTCAGGACTGAAAACTGGAGAATATTGATATATGGTATAATATGTAATATTGGAGAGGATTAAAATATGTAAGTACTTACATTCTTCATATATATGTAGCTTTGGGTGGTTCCACTTGGCTGTGTGGGTAAGACCAGATTCCTGTGAATAGCCTTTTCCTTTTAGTCAGCATCTGTTACATGTTCCTTCCCTTGGCGAGGAGTATAGAGATCTAAGTGTCAATAAACATTTAGTTGTGAGATTACATACTGTACTTCTGTACTATATGTTGCACACTTACAAATTGCACTTTTTAGCTGTAATTTCTTTTGTTATTTGGCATACTTCCTTGTTAGATAATGCATCTTTTTACTTTGGTGTGGAGGTGTTCTTGTTTTGAGAGTAATGATTCCCATTTGTGTTTGTCCTGTATATGAAATTCTTGTATGCAGCCTGAAATGAAGATGTTGCCTCTGCCGGATTTGATTTTACAGTGATGCAAATGTAATGGTTAGTTAGAATACCTATATTTTAACCTTTTCTGTCCAGGAGAGGAGAACATTTTTTGAGATTCTTGTTTGTTCTTTTTATTAATTGATGGACTTGGAAGCTGGGAGAGGTCGACAGCACACATTTAAGTAGCTAAAAGCTATGTATCTCATAGCAGAGCAGGTCATTTGAGAAATTGAGTGTTGGGCATGTTCTGTACATCTAATTCTGCACCAAGTTTTCCAGCCATTTATCACAGTAATTCAAGATCCTAGATATAAGCAAGTTATAACAAGCATTTCTTGTTGGCAATTTTAGCATTGCCATAAAGGCGGTGGAGAAGAGCACTGGTTGTGAGTTGTTTCTGTGTCCTGTGGAAATAAATAGAGAGTCTCTGAATCTACCTATGACAGTTTAGCAGCAAAGTCATACGTGAAGCATTAGCATTAGTTAGGAGTGACAAATGTATATTCCGAATCTAAAGTGTGCTGTGATGTCAGTATGTGATACTAGACAGAGATTATCCAAGTACTGAGCAGCCTCAGTGAGGACAAAGGTGCACTGAGAATCTTAGTGCAGAGCAGTTCAAGTTTTCAGTATTCAAATATTTCAAATATTTCAATATATTCAAACCTGGAGAGCCTTTGGTTTCTTAGCTGGCAAACTGCCCTTGTTCGAGTGGCTTTGACCATCCCTGCAAAGGTTTCCTTGCTGGTAAAACAGAAGGAGCGCTTTAGAACATCTCCATCCCTTGATGTAGTCAGTGGTGCTTGGAAGAGGTATCCAGCAGTTTTTAACCCTTTTGCCTCCATTGTACATCTTCTTTGATAAAAGGGGATTTAAATAGAGAGTAGATATTGACTCTCCAAAGTATGTTATGCCTGTGATGTTAAATATTCAATTTTCAGACAGAGAAAGAAGATAAAGTAGTGTAATCATGCTCCAGAAGAGTTTAGTTACTGCTCTGTCTGTCTTGTGTAAATAGGGTATCAGACCTCTACAGACGAGCCAAAGATAAGTTTGTCTAAATCCCTCAGCAACTGAACACTGGTAGGCATTTGATAGGCCTTTTTCTGGAGTCTTGGTGTATAGTTATGGGAAGTAAAGGGAGCAGACAGCTGCACTGGACTTTGCTTTAGGAAACTCAGTGTTGCATATGTACTTAAGTGGAATTAAAACGCCTACTTGCTGAAAATACAACTATTTTGTAGTTTTTATAGTCTGGATTATCCATTTTCAGCTCATAGAAATTTTGCATGATCTGCGTTTATGATGTCAAAATACTTGTTTATTTCTTACAAGGATAGAGTAACAACTGCACTTCTGACCTCAAGAATTTTTATGGGTTATTAGTGGGCATTTAAGAAGAGTAAATGGCGATTAGGTGATCATGTTCTTTCTTTCTGCAAATCCCTCCAGCTTTTAAGGTTGTTAGAAAAAGTATTTTGTTAATGATGTGCTGTACTCTGATTGCATAGTTCTAAGTACTTTTATTCTGTGTACACGTTCTCTTCATAAGTCTTTTTTGTGATTTTTTTTTTTTAACTACGCAACTAACTATTCTGATTAAAACTGACTTAGTTTGCCTTTTAAGAATTACAGGAAGTACATTATAACATCTAAATATATGGGGGGAAAATGTTTGACTGGACCTCTACATTTTGTTAAGAGGTATCAGATAAAGACTTAACTATTATTTTTGTTTTTTGCAGGGATTTCTCCAAAGTTAATATCCTGGTACCTGGTGCTGGGCTAGGTAGATTGGCGTGGGAAATAGCTATGCTCGGTTATGCTTGCCAAGGAAATGAATGGAGCCTCTTTATGCTCTTTTCTTCTAACTTTGTACTCAACAGGTACATAGCTTATGTTTTACTTTCTGGTTGACACCTACAGGGGAGGCAAAATTATTAATGAGAAAAACTTGCATAAATAAAGTGCAACAAGAATAGATTTGTAAGTCTTAACAAAGGTAACAAGTTTATAGAGCTTTTCTTCTTCCAAAAATGTAAGTGGAATAATCGAAAGGGGGGAGCATTATAAGTCTGTATAAGTGGAATAGTTGGATGGGGGGAGCATTATGAGGTTTTTATGGGTAATTTATTAAGTTTGTGGTAGCAAACATGTCTTTTCAGTTATGAGACTTAAATTGATTGGACTGTACCACAGATTTCCTGCATAATCTTGAATAAATTTTATTTTTACTTCAAATCTACTTCTGTAAAATGCACTCCTACCTCACTAGTTTCAAAGATGAAACTAGTGTTAATGATGGTTAATGATTACCAGCAGAAGAAACCTATTAATAGAAATACTGCATTCCAAATTAAAATTTAAGACACTTCCTGTGTAGAAAACTGCCAACCAAACATGCTACACCACTTCTTAAGCAAGTTTGGTCACTTTTAATTATAAAATTAATAGTTCTACATCCTGGGCACTAAATTTAAATGCAAAACGGAAATGTAAATTTAACTGTATAGGCTTATAGTGATGTTTCTGTGCTTGGTATTGTCACTTGCAGTTGTTCTTGTAAGAATGAGGTGGGAAGACTAATAGTGGACAAGTAGGAAGGAGAGGTTTATTTTTCTTTTAACTAAATTCAAAGAAACAGAATTCATGGGTTCCCTCATTCTTCAGCCTGAAATAAATCCTTTGTGCAAACACCTAAAATGCTGGCCAATACACTTTATTTTCATGGTGCTTTGCAGCATGTTGCACTCATGCTAGCCATGGGGCCTGGAAGATTATTCCAAATCTATTATTACTTAAAATTTTAATACAGAACCATGGGAAATACTGTTTTCCATGGCTGCTGTGCTTACTATCCTGAAAACAAATATGCGGTAGAGATTGTTTTGCTCTGTTTTCTTACATCATTCATAAATGACTGTCATCTGGTGATGAAATTGCATGTTACAGTTGAGCTGCTCTAATGCCTTGCAGCTATAGAGAGGAGGAGGAGGAGGTCATGTTCTTATCCCTAACTACACAATCTGGTTGGCTGTTAAGCTTTTTCAATTTTTAAATTGATTTAAAGCAGTGTAAAAGTATTCATTTCCCCTGTTTGACAGCACTGATTAGCTGTCATATTGGTTCAAACCAGAAAGTATAACTTCACCCTAAATTACTTGTGATAATAAGCTTTTTCGTTCTTGAAATATGGAATCTTTAGGCCATATATGGAATTTGCTTTCTATTAGTATAAAATATTGTTTAAGCCAGGATGTGTTAGCTATGTGTGTTAGGTCTACTAACAGTATTTCATTTGAGTCAGGAAAATATTCCTCAACTGTTGTCACTGAGGAAAGGTACCAGTTACAGGTTTGGAATTAGCAGAAAGAGAACACAGATAACAGTTAACTCAACACTGAATTCAATCAGCTCAGCTGGAAGTGCCAGGAAAACTACAGGCTTGGAATGTCTAATAAGAAGCTTGTAGGGACTTCTGGGATATTTTCACTTCAGATCTAAATGCTTGTTCCCAGGGAGCTGTCTGAAATGGACGCTCTTGCCTTCCAGGACAGGGGAGTTGAAAGATCAGCAGTGATCAATATGAGCTCGTGATCACAGTTAAGGAAGAGTGTGGTAAGAAGAGAGGAAGAGAGGACTTTGTGAATAAGTTTAGCCACTATTCCTTTCCTCTTTCTCTCTTAATTTATGGAGAAAGAGGATAGTTTTACCACCTAGGTCTTTTCATGCTGGAACAAGGAAATTAATTTTGAGTAAAATACTAGCTTTTTAATTGATTTTTGGTGATGCTTAAAGGGGCTGAACTTTTTTTTTTTTAATAATAATTCTGTTTAGTTTTGTAATATAAGAAGTGTAGTATAGTTCCTGGTCTTAGTTTCATGATATTAGCTTTTTTTGTTGTTTTCAGCTAATAATGGCATGAGGATTCTTCTAGTGTACGCTAGCACTTTTGATCTACCTTTTTGCACTGACCTCAATTTATTTTTAGGGAGATGGAAAGTAGTAGTAGGATTTTATTCAAGACAGTGAAGTGGGTCTTCTGGATTTGGTACAGTGACTTAAATCTGTGTACGAAATGGTATCTGCTATTTTTGACACAGGTGAAAGAACTTTGTCTCTTAAATTGAGAATTTTCATTGCTATGGATAAAATTTCACAGCATAGTATGCTGTGAACACAAAGTGTATCAGCACGTAACTGAAAAAGTGTAGTGAGTCAACTCAAGTTTGAAAACTGCACAGGTTAAAGGGCATTATTCCACTGAGGAAGCTCCAATTCCAAAACAAGTGGCTCTGAAAAGTTAAGGTGTAATGCATCCAAAGCTGCTGCAGTCCTTAAATAGAAGACTCAGCTTTTTCCTCTATATTGCTCTATATATTGCTCGTATATTTCCGTTGTGTTTGGCAGAGTCCTGGCTATAATGACAGATGGCCGAAGCGGGCGCTGGTAACAACACACACCTCGTTTCTCACATGCTTTGGCAGAGCAGAGCTTGTAAAAAGCATAAGCAGTCTTCCTACCTCTGGGAAACATACTAGAATTTTCAAGTGGTCTAGAGCCACTGTATATATACATATATATATATGTATATATGTATTATAATGCATATAATATATACATATAATATATATATGTAATACATATGTATATATTTGTATTACAACCCCATGACATCTGATAGGAGGAAAAATATTAGGGTAGAATTGATCTAGTGTGCAGCTAGTTGCTGACTTGCTTTGTTTTGCAGCTGGAGATTGAGAGCAGCCTCAGTAGCCCCAGCACAGCAGTCTGCCAGTCAAAGCAGTAGTCCCACCTATGGATATTTGAGGAAACTGAATTGTAGAGCATAATAAAACCATTTTGCACCTGGACAAGAGTAGAGTTAGTTGAAAGTGCTTTAATTACCCAAGTGGAATTCACCCTGACAGCTGGTTAACCTTTAATTACTTGAAGAAAAGTCTTTGCAGATGAATCTGAACACCTTCAGAAGGTGGCTTACTTGTAATGGAAGGCTTTCAAAATGTGGAGTGGGATTGTTCATCTGTAGTAACTGGGAGTTGTGCTGGAACTCTGTAGAAGTCTCCATGTAAATGATTTATGCTCAAAAATGAGAAGGAAAATAAATACTGAAAGGTGCATGTCTGCTGGCTCAGAAAAGATTTCCTATGAAATCAGTTCAGGTCTGTTCATTTCTTTGCCTTGATTTTTTTTTTTTCATATGCCAAAAGAGTGAATTTTACATAAATTGGTACTTGCAGTATAAGAGATGCTTGTTGATATGCATTTTGTAGATATCCTTTCTGATTTCTGAATATTTAATATGCATGTATATCATGGTTTTGGTAAGTGGGCTTGACTGCGGAATTCTGGGGTGCTGAATGGGGAGATAAAGCTTCTTCCTTTTTTAAATTACAAATCGAGTTTGCCAAACTCTGAGGGAAACTTCTTTTGAAGTATTTTTATTTAATTTGAATGTTATTTCATGGCTTTTTAGAATTTGCTTAGTTCATTCTGTTAATCCAAAAATTTTATGTAAGAAAATTACTTTACATAATTGCAGCACTTTAGATATAAGATTAAGAGACATATAGTGCAAAACTTCTGTGCTTTGGCAAAAGTATTTTGAAAGTTAAATATGTAACTAAACTAAAATATATAAAACATAAAAAGTAAAAAATATAAAACTAAAAATAACCAAAGATAATACAGAAGGATATAATAAGTATTGCTGATTTTACTGGATCACAATTTTTGTCCATAATCACTAAAATAATCTTGTTAGCTTTGTTTTTGGTGATAAGTAAGTTGGGGGGAAAATAAAGCTTTAAAAATGGAAAAAAGACATTTATTTAGTGGTGATCATTTTATATTAATTCGTTTAATTTTCATTTGGTCAGTTCATGAGTTGGTGGGTCATGAAATAGATAAAAGTACTTTTAGAAGGCTTTATGGCTTTAGCATTAGCTTTAGCAGCAAAATCATGGAATTTGGTGAGGGTCTTTTTGTGCATCATTTTATATGCAAGATTTCTACATTTTTAGATAATACTTGAGCAGCTAAGTGAATCTGAGTGTTTCCAACTTCCTTATTTTTCAGATGCTCTGAAGTTAACTCATGTAAACTTTATCCCTGGATTCATCAGTTTAGCAATAATAGAAGATCTGCTGATCAGATACGACCCATTTATTTCCCTGATGTTGATCCTCATAGTCTTCCTTCTGGTTCAAACTTCTCTATGACAGCAGGAGATTTCCAAGAAATTTATTCTGAGTGCAGTGAGTAAATGCAAATATTTAGTCTTTCCATGAGTCTTCAATGTATTATCAATAAGACAGTAAGAAACAATTACAGATAAAGTAGAGCTATTGCAAATACCGTGGAAGATTGTCTGAGGTGTTAAGCAAAAAGTACTAACTGTAGCAACCTTTTTTTTCCTAGTGCAAAGAAACTACTTTCTACTTACAAAAGAATACACTATTGCATTAGTCATTCAAAATAAAGACAACATAGTAAAACGAGGGAAAGATTTACTTGATTAAGTAAAGTGGTATTAAACAGATGAGCAGTGTAGAATGGAGAGTCAAGTATTCATTTCTTGGGTGCACACACACCCTGCATTAAAAAAAAACTTTCTGTTGATTCCTTTTCAGTTGTGAAAAAATACCTGGTTGTTTCAGAACTAGTTAGTTAGAAATGAAACAAGTGACCAAGAAATTCAATGTGTGTTTTTATGTTTGTTTTAATTAACAGATACTTTCCCAATTTCAAATACAATTGAGTCCTTGAAAGATTTTGCTTGTTAAATGCATTATTAAAATACAGCTGGAGAAGCATTCAGATGCTGGATAAAATACTTTGAAGTAGCATAATTTGTAAAAAATATGCTTTAATGTACAGAGCTGTGTTGTTCTAAGTGTTAGCCTAACTGGAGAGGTCCACATCTGTTGGGTATTTTTTCCATTTATATTTTTAACCATTCTGGTCTTGAAGTTCAAAAAACAGGTGAGTATTAGCACATTTTGGCTTTATACACATAGGTATTTATAAACATGTATGTGTATATGTGTATTTATATGTGTGTGTGTATATATATATATATAAATATATGCATATATATTTATATGTCTCCATATATATGCATACCCCACAGATTCAAACTTACTGTCCATCATTTATGTATAAAAACAGAGCTAGTTTCTGATAAACATAAAAAGTGTTAAACTTATATTATTGTTTGAAGGAAAACCTATGTTAGTTTTTTTAGCAGGAGAAACATTGAGCCTGATCTCTGTATAATATGTTCTTTTTGTGCAGATACATGGGACTGTATAGCAACCTGCTTCTTCATAGATACAGCACATAATGTTATTGATTATATTGATACAATATGGAAAATACTAAAGCCTGGAGGAATATGGATAAATGTAGGCAAGTGTGACCAATCTTTCTTTCATTTACCTCCGAAGTTTCTGTTTGTGAATATATATATATGTGTATATATTTACAATGTGTGTGTATATGTGTACATATATATATATATAGTTCACAGATCATGTTGGGTCTGTTCAGTGTGTCCAGATATTGAAGAATATGTCCAAATGGTTAAAGTAATTACTAAGTGATTTTTCTGCATAGACTCAAAGTTCTCTACTGCTAGGTTTTGAAAATCATGCATCACATGTTTGTTATTTAAGTTGGACAAATGTAGCGTCCTGTATTTTTTTTTTGCTGGCTTTCCAAGAAAAGAAAAATTCTGTTTCTATCTGTTAAATAAATAGAAGTTTCAAGGATAAGATTTATGGATGCTTTGTCTTAGCAAAGAACGACTTAGAATTTCTGTCATGGTTAGGGAAAGACAGCAAAACTTCAAACCTCAAACATTTTGTTGGTCAGTCACTATTGTCACAGCTAGTCACAAAATGTGAACGTAGCTTTTGTAAAGCTCACCTGTCCTGTCTCTATTTCGGTAGAGGCAACTATGATTCTGCATTGGTGAAAATGAATAAAATTGAAGAGATGTAAGACACAATTTGGTAGAAAACAGGACTTCATTTTTCAATATCTGTTGAACTAATTTGTTGTAATTTTACTCTGATTCTGAAATTTATTATAAAAATCATATTTAGTAATAGAAACATGTTTGGTTTTCTTGGTCTGCATTTGATTTGGGGCCTGAGCATTCTTAACACTTTCCGTATGTACTGATTCTAAAATAAAAAAGGGGAGACTTTTTGACATCCTTTTTGGATTTTGTCTCTATAGGTCCTCTCCTTTACCACTTTGAAAACTTGGCAAATGAACTTTCTATAGAATTAAGCTATGAGGATATAAAAAATGTTATCCTGCAGTATGGATTCCAAATCGAGGTAAGGTGATACTGTAGTTTGGGAATGCACAGCATAGACTAGACAAACTCCTTCCATCTTTATTTTATATATAGTTTAGCGTAATGTCACAGATTAATAATGCTTAGAACAGTTAATTGCTTGTAACTGTGCTGCAAGTTTTCATTTTCCTAGTATTTAAAGAAGTGAGTAGATAGACATTGAAATCTGTTGGTAGCAGGTATATAGCAATTTATCTCTGAGAGTAACTTGGACATTGCTAGTAGAAAAGTGTTTTAAAGACTTCTGCTTTTTATTTTTTAGGTGGAGAAGGAATCTGTTTTATCGACTTACACTGTGAATGAACTCTCCATGATGAAATACTACTATGAATGTGTACTGTTTGTTGTGAGAAAACCAGAATAGAAGTGGTTTGAATACATTACTTGGGGAAAAAAGTATTGGCTCAAATACTAAAATTGGAAACAAGACTGCCTGGGTCATGTCTGGACACAGCCTCAAATCAGTGGTGCCTTCTTATTCCTAATTAGGATTTAGATAGTGTCTATTTTCTTAATCTGTATTGCTCTCAGAATTGTGCTATGCCATGCATATTTGTACTGTACTAATGAAAGCAGAGGGGGGAATAATTGTTCACGTACACTGTCCTTGGACTTTGAAATGCATTTAAAAAACACAAAAACTTCTTTTCCTTTTAAAATGTCATGTTTGCCCTAACCATGCTAATTCTCCACATATGCTGACTCAGTTTTCATAAGTCTATAATCATTTTGGGTACAGTAGCCATCAGAACTGTTAGGCAGCATTTTCTGTGGAACTGGAAATAGGAACAAAGTAGACTGTTATATAAATGCTAGTTTTCAAATCTGTTAAAAATGTAATTAAAACAAAATCTGTATGCATTTTGAAATAATACGTAAAGCAGAATACTAAGCGAAGAACATGTCAGAGGGGGACTATAACCATGAACCAAGGCCAGTTTAACACCAATTGTGATCGATCTGCTAGTGTTGAAGCTCAAATACTGAGTGCTTGTTATGTGTGAACAAGATGTACTTCCTTGTCTGAGCTGGCACATGCAGTCCAATCGATAGGTAGTTTGAATGGAAGAAAACATCTTTACCTTTCTTTAGTCTCAACATTGCATAAGATAGAGTGCCTGTGGATGTCTCAGTACCCTGTTTCTGCTTGGAAACCTTAGCAAGGATAAAAGCTTCTGAACCACAAACATTTTCAGTGAAACTTTACCTTAAAATGGTCATTGAACTGTCTCCTCTTCTTAAAAACGCACTAAGAGTTAATGAATACTGAAAGATTAACCCTCTTTCAAGAAAGACCTACTTAAAGCTGAGACACTGCCATTGTAATAAACAGATACAAAAAATAACCCCTTACACACCTCAACAAATCTTTTGTTGCTTTGATTTCCTTATTGAGCTGCTCACTCCACTTTTTTTCTATGACCTTTGTGACTCTTTGCCTTCATTCTGATTATTTTTTTTAGATTTTAAAAGTGATTAACATTTTATTCTCAAGCTTTTTGAAATAAGACCAGGTTAGGTAAATTTTAATTATGCAGTTGCTGAGTATTTACATCTGTAATATTGCCCAATTTCTGCCTCTTTTAAGGAGCTTGTAGTTACTCTTGAAATGCGGTGTTACTGTTTTCTACAAATAGACTATTGAACGTTTTGCATTGACTGAATCTCAGTACCTTTTGTTCTCTTGGGTTTGTTCTTTACTTTCTCTCTACCCCTATTGTTGAAACTGCCATTTTGTTGTTTTGTTTCTGGATTTTTTTTATTGGGTTCTGTCAAGTATAGTGATGTGTTTCTATTTTTTATTTAGAAAATGCAGTTTTTCCTGATTCTTTCCTATTGAAATGTAACAGTTGTGTTAAAGAGTTGGAAGCAGAATAATCTTGTGAATGAATTGTATGAGTTCAGTAGTATTTTATCTTCAGTCTTATTTATATAAGTTCTCAAAAATCATCATTTGTATTTTTATGGACAGGGATAAATGTGTATTACTCAGTGTAATTGCATTCTTCTCTATTGTATGCACAGGGAAAAAGAAGTGCAAAGTTGTTTTATCAGTTGAAGCCAAGTTTTAAGTCACTATTAAACTGTATGTGCTATTGAGTGTAAGATATAAAATGCTGCCTAATCTGCAGTATAATACTTCTTTATATGGGGTGAGATTGACAAATGTAAATAAAAATGCAGGACACTTCATATGTACTACATTCAAAAATCACTTACGAACATAGGAATTGGAAGTGTCATGTCTGGGTGCGAACTTTCTCTATTTTTAATGTGTATAATGGACTCAATTTTTCCTGGGTAATAAAGTTTGCTGTATGGCTTGATGAGTTTTATCTTTTTGTTTGTTTATTTCAATCACTTGGACTGGATTTTTTGTTTGTTTTATTTTGAGTTCTTGCTTCTTTATCCCATTACTGTTTTTCTTGCTGATCTCCGTGAGTGTTCCTTCCACCTTGGTGTGTGCTGCAGGGATAAAACGGATGGAGCCACTTTCCAGGGTTTCCAGGGTCGAGCTGCCTGACCTCTGCTTAAGCTTGTGCTTGAATATATATATTGGAATTTATTAAATATATATATATATAAATTCAATAAATATATATAAGCTCTTATATATTATATCTTATTTATAAGCTT